GTTTTAAAATTATGTGTATTCTCTTTTTCAAACATTCAGTTCCTTGTAGCACTTCCAGTTGGATTAAATGACTGGTTTTTATGATTTCCTTCTAGCTGCTAAAAGAGGCTGTACTGTTTACTTAGGTTTCCTCCACCACAAAATAAAATTAAAAGTTTTTTTTTAAAAAACTACAAACAATAGGGGATGTGGTGGCGCTGTGGGCTAAACTGCAGAAGCCTGTGCTGCAGGGTCAGAAGACCAGCAGTCGTAAGATCGAATCCACATGACGGAGTGAGCTCTCGTTGCTTTGTCCCAGCTCCTCGCCAACCTAGCAGTTCGAAAGCATGTAAATGCGAGTAGATAAATAGGTACCACCTTGGTGGGAAGGTAAAACGGAGCTCCCTAGTCACGCTGGCCGCGTGGCAACAGAAACTGTCTTCGGAGAAGCACTGGCTCTATGGCTTGAAAATGGGGATGAGCACTGCCCCCTAGAGTCGGACATGACTGGACTAAAAATGGCAAGGGGAACCTTTAACCTTCTGATAAATTCTCTGACACCTTGGCTTTAAGCTGAGCATGAGCACATTCAGGAGAAACAGGGTTACAGTCGCTCAAACAGGAGGTCAACATTCCTGATAGCCGTACAGTTTCAGAACAGAGAAGGGAAGGCTGCTCATGTCATGGCATTGATGAGTGACTGTGGTAGGGAACCTCTCTGCACCTCTTCCCTCTCTCCATCTGTCCAGGGCAAAAGAAAGTTAGGGCACTGAATGGAAGAGCAGGTCTGGCAAGGATAAGTATTAGATACAGTGCTGACGAAGGCAAGGCTGGCAGATGATGGAGAGTAAGCACTACATAGACTTAATCTTTCTGAAGCAGGTTTTGTGATTTTATCTAAGGTCAGAAGAGCAAAGGGGGTCTACTGAGAACTGCTAGGAAGGAAGGGACTATCCTGTGCTTTTAAGTGTTGTTATCATACCACATTTAAATAACTATTTAGAACAAAAGTAATCTAAATTATATGTTATACTTATTCGTAGGTCAATCACAAAATTATTGTATAAGAAGTAACTGTGTTAGTCTCTGCTAGTGTTCCAGCCAAAAAAAACAAACAAACAAACAAACAAACAAACAAATAAATAAATAAATAAATAAATAAATAAATAAAATGTTATGGCACCTTAAAGACTAATTGCTATATTTCAATGTGAGCTTTCATGGACGTGTATGTATGCAAGAATAACTGCATGTGTGTGTGTGGATGTGTGCATGCACACATGCATGCATGTAAGCACACACATATATGCATAGATATACCATAGATATAGATATATAGGTATAAATGTAGATATAAACATACACATATACACATATATATATACATACTTACATACATACATACACACATACAATATACACACCTATATATATTGCCATGCAGTCCCACTCTCATGTCTGAAGAAGTGGACTTGTCAATGAAAACTCATATTAAAATATAGCAGTTAGTCTTTAAAGTGCCTCATTTTTGTCTTCTTTATTTTTTTATTTCGGTTTTGGTTTTGCCTGACAATCTTCCAGAACTCTGCCTGTGCTCTGCTTCTGACTCCTGTCCTTTAAAGATGCTGGCCACAGAGACTGGCAAAACGTTAGGAAGAAAAACTTCAAGAACATGGCCAGACAGCCTGAAAAACCTACAACAACCATCAGATCCCCGCCGTGAATTGGTGCACCGGAAGCCAATGATGACAAATGTGAAACTGGACATACTGTATGTATCTGAGCATGCATGTCCTAACACCAGCACAGGGACCTGTGTGTTCTAAATGTGCAATGAGGAGGCACACACACCCAAATGAATAGAGCACAGAGGCAGGAAAGGCATAGGTGGGGTCATGAATATCAACCATCAAATAATTATCATCTCACTCTACCAGCAGTCTCCTTTTTCCTTCTAATGAGCGGATGGCATCATGTCTAATTTGTGCCTCACACTCTGTGCATTCTGTTGTTTACTTTTGTCCATTGTTTACATCCTTAGTGTTCTCACTAAAGCTGAACAATTTCCCTCTCTTATTTAACATGAGAAGAAGTTGATAAGTACTCCAACCCTTTGGCTCTAGATGTGACTTGTATGGTGAGTCAAAATTAAGCAATTCACATGAATGTCACTAGATGGGGACAGAGGATAACATAATACAGTATATAAATTCTATAATTATCATCCCTGTAAGTGTAAAAGGTGTCTAGTCCATATAAATTCTATAATTATCATCCCTGTAAATTTGTAAAAGGTGTCTAGTCGCACTCGCCACGTGACATGGAAGATTGTCTTTGGACAAACGCTAGCTCTATGGGCTGGAAACGGGGATGAGCACCGCCCCCTACAGTCGGACACAACTGGACAAATTGTCAAGGGGAACCTTTACCTTTACCTTACCTAAAAGATAAAATATCTACAGTATTGTCTTTTTCTAATACATAGGAAAAAGCAAAACTTTTCCTCCCCTTTCACCTACCACTTAACCAGTTTAAGATAATTAAAAAACAACTGACAGAATCCCCAGAAGAAGAAGAAGAAGAAGAAGAAGAAGAAGAAGAAGAAGAAGAAGAAGAAGAAGAAGAAGAAGAAGAAATGCTGTTTATCCAAGGGGTCCCAGGATGGTTTATTAGTATTGCAAAGTTTTGAATTTCTTGTTACATTCCTCCCAGAAGTGCAGGGATTCACAGAGCAGAATAGCTTCAAGTAGACCATTCCTTTTTTCATTAACTGGCACTTACAGTCCCAGTAATTCACTTTGAAATATTAATAGTAGAAAGAATAAAATGTTACAGTGAACTGATAACAGGAAGCTAAAAACATACTGCTTTGAGCAGCAGGCTTCAGCAGACTAACTGATTGCAACAGACAAAAGAGAGGAGGAAAAAGAGCTCTCAGAAGAGAGACAGAGAGCTCTCTTTGAATTCAGAGGCTAGTGCTAGACAGACAGACAATCACTCCAACTCAGAAACTCTCTTTGAATTCAGAGGCAGAGAAGGAATTATTGGCTAGTGCTAGACAGACAGACAATCAGTCCAACTCAGAAACGCCCCTCCCAGCCAAACCTGCTAAAAGCAACATGTGAGGTTGCAAAACTCCAACAATTAGCCCCCATGCAGAGAACTTGTTTTCAAGATGGATATGCCTCTTCCTGATGCTAGCCCACCGTTTTCCTTCTTGCTCCACTAGAGGTGATGGGGAAGAAATGTTGTGCCCTTGCCTTAGAGTAGGTTCCTGCATATTATGGAGTGTTACACTTTGTTGCTTTTTATGTGTTTTTGGTGTTTATTTAACGGCAGTACTGCAGTGAAGACTCAGCTCATGGCCTGAGTTCGATCCCAGGCTCAGTTAGCTGGCTCGAGGTTGACTCAGCCTTCCATCCTTTCTGAGGTTGGTAAACTGAGCACCCAGTTTGCTGGGAGGGGCAACGTGTGGCTTGCATATCTAAATTGTAAACTGCCTTAAAAGAGCTATAAGCATTTATAGAGCAGTATATAATTGGAACACTTTGCTTTTATTGTAGCTTTTAAATACATATTCTCTTTTAATGATGTAAGCTGCCTTCAGCCCTTTTATTAAAGAAGAAAGGCAGAGTAAAAATATTTCAAGTCACTCAATCAATAAAACATTCTCACTCAGACTTGAATCTCACCACCATGGAATAAATATGGTGGACATGTATTTGTACCCCTGTGTCTGAAAAAGGGGATTTTGAGCCATGACAGCTCACACTGAAATAAATCCGTTGGTCTTTAAAGTGCTACAGCATTTTGCCTTCCCCCACTTTTCTTTTTCTCCTTTTGTCAACAAGGTATTCTACAGGAGATATTTTTGGGTGTGTGACTGTATATGCTGAGGCCAGAGGGAAGTGCATGAATCATTTATTTCATCGTGGCAAATTAATCTTGTTTATGTTCTTGGTGCCAGAAGACTCTTGTTTTTGCTGCAACTAAAAATGTTTCTCCTAAGGAAATTCTCTCACAAGAGTCCTGTACCAGAATATGGACAGCTACCTTTTCCATGGGTTTATTGCTCTGCTTTCAGCTGCTAAGACCTGTTTTCTGTCTCCTGAAGAATTTTTACAATAGAGCCGTAAAACAACATAAGCCATAAATTACTGCCTTGTAATGTAACATATGGGGACGTGGTGGCACTGCAGGTTAAATTGCAGAAAGCCTGTGGGCTGCAAGGTCAAAAGATCAGCAGTTCGAATCCTCAGGATGGAGTGAGCTGCCGCCATGTGTCCCAGCTCCCGCCAACCTAGCAGTTCGAAAGCATATAAAATCCGAGTAGATAAATAGGTACCCCCACGGTGGGTAGGTAACGGTGTTCAGTGTTTAGTCATGCTGGCCATGCGACCACAGAAACCGTCTTCAGACAAATGCTGGCTCTCCGGCTTGGAAACAGGGATGAGCACCGCCCCGCTAGAGTCGGACACAACTGGATAAATTGTTAAGGGGAACCTTTACTAATGTAACATACATCCAAGAGTCAATCAATATTTAGTATGAAACTGATATTTCATTCAAGATTTCATTCTGCTTCCATATGTCTGACGAAGTGGACGTGAAAGCGCACATTAAAATATAATAGCCAGTCTTTAAGGCACCACATATTGTCTTTTTTTTTTTTTGGCATCACTGTATTTTGCTTCTTTGGATTCTGTCTGATAAAACCTTTCTATCTCCCTCAATATTTTCTCTATGGTCTGACGTTCAAAAAGCCTTCTATTTGGGACCCGTCCTCATACGATTGGTGTTCTTCTCGGCCAATGAAACGGTGGGCCTCTCCCACCAGTAATTCCTCTCCAATGGGATGGATGTTCTGTTTGATGGATAGATGAAACCCCTATAGGGAGAAGCTGTGCGAAAATACTGGCCAATCAAGACCAAGGTCGGGGCCGGCAAACCGTGGGTAGCATTTCCTGGTTGAAGAGGGAATGGGGTAGCCGCCGGGTGTGGAGAAGTCCTCGGTGGGGTGAGCCAGTCAGGCCGGCTCGAGCGCCCGGTCCCTTCTTGGCGGTGGCGAAGGAGGCGGCGGGGGCCGGACTCCTGAGGCTTAAGTGGGCCCAAGGTCCTTTGAAAGGGGCAGGGGGGCGGGTTGGGGCAGAATGTGAGGGGGGGCAGTCCGTTTGTGTGTGCGTGCGTGTGTGTGTGTTATCATCCTCATCATCTTCGGTTGAACATTCGTTCTCTGTCCCTCACAGGGAAGAACAACCCCCTTGTGTCTCCCCCCCCCCTCAGAGGTGCGCCTTTGTCGCCATGGAGACGCTGATCCCTGTCATCAACAAGCTGCAAGAGATCTTCAACACGGTGGGAGCCGAAGTCATCCAGCTGCCCCAGATTGTCGTCATCGGTTCCCAGGTGAGATTCTTCCCCTGCTGATGGCTGAGGGACACACAACCTTTGGGGACTGGATTCTTGCAGCCCAGCAGTATCTGGTGCTCCAAATTCCCCCACTGATAGGAAATTATTTTCATAAGTTTGTACAAGAAAGAACTGTTGGATAGCTCGATGGTTTCGGTCTCTGGCTGCAGAAGCAGAGGTTGGGAGTTCAATACCTCACTGTGCCTCCTTGACGGGCTGGACTCAGTGATCCACAGGGTCCCTTCCAGCTGTGTGCAATTCTGAGATGGTGATGATGACTGTTCATTCATTCATTCATTCATTCATTCATTCATTCATTCATTCATTCATTCAAAGTCAACCATAGTCCTTGAGTACTGTCTAACATTGATAATGGACTGGACGAGGCCCTGTCAACTGAAACTGAATCCATATGAGACAGAAATCTATCTCCACAGAGTAGTGGGAAGAGTTCAGTGCTGGAGAGCATCGTGGGCCGGGACTTCTTGCCACGGGGCTCTGGTGTGGTCACCCGACGGCCCCTCATCCTGCAGCTGGTGCATGTCCCAGCACTGGAGGAGAGGAGACGAACAGCCAGTGGAGAAAGTGGTAAGGGGGAAAGATGGGGATTGGGCTCCTGATTTTAGCAGAGGGAAGAATTCATGCTCAGGCTATGACACCTGTGAGTTGTCTTTATTTCTGAGAGGCAATTGTGTGGTGCTCAAATCTAGCACATGAAACTGTGGAAGTTTCATGCAGCTACAGAGCTCTTCCCAACCTGGAGCTGCGTATTTATTTTAGACTGCAGTTCCCATTAGAGGTGTGCATATTTGTTTCTAGACTAAAACTCACAAAATTCCTCAGACAACTTCTCTAATTCCCATCCACACAGCCAGAGTTCAGGGATGATGGCATCTCTAGTCTCAGACCAAGGGAGGCCACCAGGTTCTAGAAGCTTGCACTAGGGAGTCATTGTTTCTCTTCCCTTCCTCCCAAATAAGGAAAAGAATCTGAATTATTACTTGAAGGCCCTTGCTGAACATTAACTGAAATATTACTGCAGCAGTAACAGTAAATGAACCAAAGAAACAAGTTAAAAATGATTTCACTAAAAGCCTGTCAAAATCAGCTGCAGGCTATGCTGCCCCACTGATCAGCCACTTTTCTAGGTTCCCGTCTGGTTATGACTTCTGTGTCATAACCATGACATGTGTTTGTTCCTACTTTTGAGGCTCCTTCAAGGAATAATAAACTTTGCAGGAGCTTTAATGCTTTAAACGTCTCATCTAGCTTCAAAGTAAAAGTCTGGGATGTTTGAGTTGATGAGGCTTCTGGTATAAACTCTGTGAGGCTTTCAGTTGGGCTTTGCGACACCAGTTGGGCATGTCTGAGCATTGGAAACCAGATGAATAACTGAGCACGTGCAGAGTGCCAGTCATCTCCAAGTAAGCACCACAGACATCTGGCACAGGTCGGGCTTCTAAGATGGGAGCTTTTAAGGTCAAATGCAATGAATGAATAAATAAATAGAGAGAGAACAGTTGGTGGCAGCAGTGGCAAATGGAAGAGTGACAGAAGGCCACGTTTGGAGATACAACATTCGCAAGAGTGGCCAATGGTTTCAGGAGGAAAACAAAGGGTTGGCTCAGATTAGGTTTTAACCAGTCTAGTGGTGTTTGTGGAGTCCTCCTTTTGTGGCGTTACATCCTTTTAGCTCGCTCAGGACTTGGCAGCATCACCTTTGGGCACTGTTCCATGTTTTGTGGGAGAGTCTGAATCTGAGGCAGTTTTCAGACTTTGTGTGCTTTCTGTTTCCTTGTCCTCAGGCATCCAGGCTGATGAGTGGGCCACCTTCCTGCACTGCAAACATAAGGTACGGAGTGGGCAGTGATGTACCATATGTGAATGGTCTTTTTTTTTCTGGAAAAGGGGAATTGATTGTTGTTTTTTTCCCTTAGCTCAGGTGGCTATGCTGCAACATGGGGGAATGGCATTTCTCTTTCCAATTTACAAGAATGTGAAAGATGCCGATAGCACAGCATGCCTTCTCTTGGCCTGCTCCTTTTTTATTTCTCATCTTCTATTTTCATCTTACTGTTGTAGCCAACAGGCATCTAATTTTGTCCCACAGCAGGCAGGGTGGAAGAGAGGATCAGTGAAAGGATAGGAAAAACTGCAAACCTATTGTCTCCTGCGACCCCCTCAGCCATTAAAGAAAATGCAGCTGCTGCTGCATTTCAGTCTGGTAACCCTCCCCTCACTCAGCCTTTTTATTTTCCCCAGACCTTTATTGATTTCACCGAGGTCCGTCAGGAGATTGAGATTGAAACTGAGCGGACAACAGGGAACAATAAGGTATTGTTCTTCTGAGGAACCCACCTCTCTGATGGGACTGTTTTCTTAGCTTCCCCAGAGTCATTTTACTCCAGTGTGAGGATCATTTGTTTTGTTCCTTTTGCAGGGAATCAGCCCAGAGCCCCTATACCTGAAGATCTATTCCCCCAATGTGCTCAACCTGACCCTTGTTGACCTGCCAGGAATCACCAAGGTGAGAAGCACTGAAAGCTGTTGGTCTCCAACATTCAAGGCTGGACTTTGGAAGCCCTAACCACCTTGATAGGCTTCCCTATAATCTGCTCTGACTTTCAAACGTGAGATTGCCAGCCATGTTGTGTGCTGATGTTCAACATGATGATAGATGGGTGGGAGTAGTTGCAAGGAAGGGAGTCTTCCCCTTCTCCCTCACTCTCATTTCTTCCTGTTTTCATCTTTCCTACCAGTCATATCCTAGCAGACTCCACAGGGATGGGATTTCTGGATTCCTTTGATGGCAAATCCCTTAATACTTCTCTATTCTGGGAATTCTGCCTTACAGACAGACATTTAAATGTGGCTTACTTGGGAGAAAAACCTCAACTGGAAGACTTTGAGGCTTAGCTAAGCCTAGTTCTACCCAAGTTTCCTGTTCAAAAAGAATGCTCCCGGCTAGCCCTGAGGCAGGAACAAGAAGGTTAGGTGGAGACACATCTGTTTGGGTGATTAAGACGGCCCAAAACATCATTGGCTGTTCACTCCCCTCTTTGGAAGAATTGTATAAGAACAGATGTAAGAGGAAGATATCTAACATACTGAAAGACTCCTCTCATCCGGGATATCAGCTCTTTAAACTATTACCATCAGGAAGGAGATTCAGGGTATTGAAAGCAAGGACAAGCAGATTCAAGAACAGTTTTTACCCAAGTGCAGTATTGAGTTTAAATGTGGGGCCATAGGTTTTTGGTGGATTTTAATTGCTGAGAGAAAACGGGGTATCTATATTTGGATGATGAAAGTTGTGTATATTTTAACTTTTTTTTGTAGTGTTGTCCAGTTTTACCTTGGGGAAGAGCACCTCATTTCGTTGCACCCACTTGTGAGCGCAATGACAAATAAATTTCTTATGTCTTATGTCTTATGTCTTATTATGTTGCACTTTGGTGCACGGCAGGGCACTCCTGGTAGCTTTGTGTCAGTCAGAACCAGTCTAAGATTTGGTTCCCTGAACAAAGCAACTGCATTTGATTTCTTGTAACCTGAAAGAAGCAGGCTCTGAAAACAAGAGTATTTTAAAACTGTCTCCTGACCTGTATGGGTGCTCTGTGTAAAGTGAAACTAGTTGTAGCCTTGATAAAAGGCTGTTTCCTTTGCCAGTCTTCCTGTGCCAGACAATGCTCAGTTCTTCTGGCTGCTGTGCTCTGCAGGGGGTCGAGACCTTGACTAGGCTGAAATTCATCTTTTGCATTCTCAAAGAAAAGCTAAAGTTCCACTCTGAGCCTATATGAATCCTTAGCTGTGTGTATTTGGTGCTGTAAATAAATAAAATACACTTGTTTTATATGCTGAGAGAAGTGGCACACTTTCTTTATATGAAAACCCTTCTTCCTGAGTTGTAGCGTATTAGCTAAATGGAAGAGCCCAGTTCAGACCTGGCATACTCCAGCCATGTGTAAATGAACGTAGAAGCCCTTTCTTCTCTTTCTTTCTATCTTTTTACTACACTTGTCTTCTTTTTCTACAGTTGGAGATGGAAACCATATGCCCCTTGCTGAAAATCACTCTGCTCTGATGGGGTATAACTCTCTACTTCCTGGGTGGGAACTGAGCAGGAAAACTAGAGAGACTTATTTGAAAACAAGGAAAAGGTGGCTGTCTAGCTGTTATTGAACTGAAACACCCTTACTATAGACTTGCTGTGTTATGACAGATGGTTGTTTTAGTCCAACTGATATCTGGCAAGTGATACATTTCCCACCTGTGTTTAAAATGGGCTCTTACTGCTTGGAAGTATTATAATACAACTGCCATTGGCCTCTTAATCTATATGGGTTGAAGATGAAAAGGCAAATCTAAAACCTTTCCTTGTGGATCTTTTTTTTGGCAGCCTTAAAGTAACCCCAGTTTTTGTTGTTGTTTGCATTGTGCCATAGGTGCCTGTTGGGGATCAGCCAGCTGATATTGAGGTGCAGGTCCGGGATATGATCCTCTCCTACATTTCTAATCCAAACTGTCTGATCCTGGCAGTGACTGCTGCCAATACAGACATGGCCACGTCAGAGGCATTGAAACTTGCACGAGACGTGGACCCTGATGGTACGTGTGCAGAATATAGTGGGTAGGAGGATGTTCAGTAGCAGTGCTTGCTTTTGGCAGAGAATAACAGGAAACTGTCATGATGGTGTCCTTGCTGGAGCAACTGCCCCCTGCATGTATTGAGACAGGACAAAACATTGGACATAGAGTTGAGTGGCTTTAGTAGATATAGCACAGCAAACCTGTTGTATATAAAAGTCTGACACCTGTAATAGACAACAGTATTGGCAAACAAAGCGAAGGGGAAAGGAGGAGAGGCAAAGGGCGGTGTTGGTGTTGGGGACGATGGCCAGCAAGCAATTTACTGACTGCAATGGAGCAGGAAGGAGCAGCCTGGCTCTTCTGTTTTCCCTTTTCTCAGCCTTTGTTCCTCCAAGTACCTTTGGATTGCAGCTCCCATCACTGCTTCCCATTGGATGTACTGGGGTAAGGTGCATCCTTGCCCACTACACCATCATGTCAAACCTCTGTAGGGCAAAAGGTTTTGCCACTTCTGCTGTGTAACAGGCAGTTCTCTTCTTCTTCTTCTTCTTCTTCTTCTTCTTTTTTTTTTTTTCAGGACGAAGGACCCTGGCTGTGATCACTAAGCTGGACTTGATGGATGCTGGGACAGATGCCATGGATGTCTTGATGGGCCGAGTTATTCCTGTCAAGTTGGGGATCATTGGGGTGGTCAATAGGTCAGTGGCTGTGGGAAGCTGGAGGAGGACAAGGTGATGCTGGGACACAAGGTGATGTCCGGTGGGAAACCCTACCCTTGCTAGTACAGTAGATATAATATGGACTGGGGTTATGACTGGGGCTATCAGTCAGGGTAGAGAACCTTTGGCCATCCAGATGTTTGGGCTTAAACTTCCATCAGCTCCAGCTAGCATGACCAGGGGTAGCATGTGTTGGGAAAGGTAATCCAGAACATCAGGAGAGCCAAAGTGTTCTCCATTCCCGGTACAAACCCTTACTTCAAGTCTTCGCTCTGGCTTGTGTTGGTGAGCTTGTGTTGGGGGCCCTGTTTCTTTTGCTAGGAGTCAACATGATATCAACAGCAACAAAAGCATCAATGAGTCTTTACAGGATGAGCAAAGTTTTCTGCAGAAGAGGTACCCATCGCTTGCCAACCGAAATGGCACTCGCCATCTGGCCAAGACCCTCAACAGGTAAGAGAGAGCCAAGGCAGCTGAGGCGAAGAGCTTAATTGATGGAAGTAAAAGTCAGTAAGGGAAGGGGTTTGGTGAATGAGAAGGCAATAACTGGGAGCCCCCACAAGATCTGGCGCAGCAGGATGTATTGCTCCACATCCATGCTCTGAATTCCAGAGCATTCCTCAGATACACTGACACACATTTGATGAATGAGCTGAAGCTGCCTTGCAAGTAGTTGGGATAAAATGGGGTCTCTGCTTGTCCTTCACTAACTCCAACCTGCTGGTGGAAACCAGGGGATCCAAATATATTAAACCAGCCAACATGTATCTGCACTTCTTCCCTCCCCTTTGAAATCCACTCCCCCCCAGGCTGAGTCAGCCAGGCCCTGAATGCTGACACAATTGTTGCCTCCCAGGCTTTTGATGCACCATATTCGTGACTGCCTGCCTGAACTGAAAACCCGAGTGAATGTGCTCACGGCCCAGTACCAGTCTGTGTTGCAAAGCTATGGGCAGCCCATTGAGGACAAGAATGCTACCTTGCTTCAGATCATCACTAAATTTGCCACTGAATACTGCAACACCATTGAGGGCACTGCACGCAATATTGAGACATCTGAGCTGTGAGTAGCCATCTCCTGGCAGGGCGGGGCAGGGCTTGGCCGTGGGGCTAAGTGTGTGCTGAAGAGATGTGTGTGTGTGTGGGGGGGGTGTCCACTTCTTGCAGCTGATGGGCTCCTTTTCTCTGCTAGGTGTGGCGGAGCCCGGATGTGCTACATTTTCCACGAGACCTTTGGTCGCACTCTGGAGTCTATCGATCCGCTGGCTGGACTTACCATGTTGGATATCTTGACGGCCATTCGAAATGCTACCGTAAGTGTTTGCCATCCTGTTTTTGCTAGGCTGTTGAAACCATCTTGTGTCCTGGACACTGTACCCTTTACCTTCCCGCTTTTGCTTGTGCCATGTACTCTGTCTCTTTCAGCCTATGTAATTTGGAAGGGACATTGTAGAAGATGGTTGTGCTACGTAGCAGCAGCCCTGTGGATTAGAAAGATGGGAAAGAACCTCACCACTCTCTTCAATTAATTACGTTGCTTACAGTTAAGGCTTGAGGCAAGCCATTCCCAGCTCCCCCTCCCAACTGCAGTAATGGGAGGGGTAATACTGACTTTGCTTGCAACATTTTGAGAATTAACAAGAAATTTAATGAGTGCTGAACTAAAGCTCTCCATTCCAGTGTACATTGCTCAAGATGATTCCTTATTCATCTATGGAGGAAAACCTAAAATGGTCCCCCCTGCTAATTTGATAGGATAGAGGCCCGGGTAGTGAGTGGGGAGGGAGCCCTTAACCAGGCAAAGCGTGTGTCTTTTTTTGTGGCTTAATATTCTACCTTCTGTTTTTCAAAAGACAAGCTGCATTTGGTCCAGAACTAGTCCCAGAGGCAGAGTCTTCCTCTCACGCAAATGCTAGAGGAGCGGGTGGAGCCTACACAACTCCTTCTCTAATTTTAGGTACTTAGGACATTCTGATGGGAAGGGTATAGAGATCACATTCCACCCCACTGGACCACTTCCCTTGAACCATGAGTGGGACACTCCATATAATGAGAGAGCCTGTTATCTTAAGGTCCCTCTTTGGTTGCACATTTTACTCATGTGAACGTGAGTGGATCCCCTCCCCTGCCCTGCACGTATACTGTTCTTTTCAATGTGGAGAGCTGGAGGAGGAGGCTGGGGATGTGAGGGTTGGAACCAAGAGGAAGGTCCCATGTCTCCCTCTACTTAAGCCCTAGTCAGTCATGTTTTATAGTGAAGAGGAGTGCACTTGCCCTACTCTGTCATCTGGCTAAGCACAGAAATGTGACTAGTTGAGGAGGGATCTGTTGTTTCTGGGTGATCTCTTCTCCACATTGATCAAAATCGTGGGTGGGTTGGTTTGAGAAGAGAGCTCACGTGGGGAGGCTGCCCTCTTTTCAGAGTCACATTTCTGTGGTGATAGAGAATGGCGAGGGAGGAACTGGCACGCTCCCCTCAAGGCAGGCAGCTTCTCCATGCTTTAAAACACTACCAAATAGGGCTTTAGATTGGCCAGTTGTTTGGGAAAATATAGCACCATAGCAACTGGAATCCTCATTTTTTTAAAATTACAGTCACCTCCTGTCAAAACTGTGGATTCCTTTTCAAAGGGCGCCTTTGCTGCCTTGACAGTGTGGTAATGATACCTTGGTCATGTACTGGCAAAGGACAGTGTATTCTCTTCCACCGCTATCATAAATCTGCAACATGAAACCTAAATCAGACTAGCACCTCCTCTTTCTTTTTGTCATTGCCTGGAAACCTATCTTCCTGGTTTTACTGCAGTAACTTGCTTTCTCCATTGTGGGTAACTCCTTCTCTGACCATGTTGGTTCCTTCTGTAAATCAGCATGTCTTTCCTAGTAATAGCAAACTCAAATGGTGAGTGCTTGATGTCTCTGTAGCTAAAAGAGGCACAATGAGAGGAACCAAGGTGTGTTGGGGGGGCAGGTATTGGTTCCTCCCAGTTTTGCAGAAGGGCAGCCAAACTTCTAACACATTCAGCCTCTGGAGATATCCCTGGAACAGCCCAGCAGTGATTGAGCGTGCTCGATAATAACATACCATTGAATGTTAGCCATAAAAGTAAAAACAGAAGCATGCCTGGGAGTAGAAGGAGTAGAACAGAGTATCCCAGAGGGCATGTTTATCTGACTGGAACCCTGAGCAGGTCTTATAATGCTTCTTAATATCTTGAAAGCACACATATATGTTTCTGGCTGCTACTAGAGGCCGTCCTCTTCAATCTGAGCTTGATTTAGTCTATGGAGGATCCATTGGCATTTTGCACATTTAAATCAGTCCTGACATAGGAGAAATTAGGATTTCCACAACTGGAATCATATACAAGCCATGTAGGAACAGCACTTTCTTGAGGTCCCATCAAAAATCACCAACTCCTGCACAAACATTGGAGTTCCTTAGACCTTCCTTGTGGCTGGATGTTTACCACTCCTTGTGCTGCATTCCTCATGAATTGACTTCACAGATCCCACGGAACTCATTGGGATCCACGTCTGTGTAAATAGGTTGCACCAGTAGGTTTTGGTGCAAAAATCTTCTAGCTGCAGCAAAGCATGCTGGGCTGAACGAGGATGCTCTCCTTGAAAAAACAGAAATATGCCATATTTCTGGTCCATATCCTTGTGTCGGGAGTATTGGTATGTATGTAGGGAAATATGTCTGAGGAAAAACACTTGGGGCGCTAGAGGATCTCACTGTGTGGCGGCTGCTTTTCCCCCTTGCCTGGCTTCCCTCCATCCCTGGATTTTGTATGGTGACCTACGCTAAGGCCTCTGTTTTCCTGCCCTGCCCCTTCCCCTGCAGGGGCCACGGCCAGCCCTCTTTGTCCCCGAGGTCTCCTTTGAGCTGCTCGTGAAGCGTCAGATCAAGCGCCTGGAGGAACCCAGCCTTCGCTGTGTGGAGCTGGTGCACGAGGAGCTGCAGCGCATCATCCAACATTGCTCCACCTACAACACGCAGGTACATCTCCCTCTGTGGCCTTGCAGGGATCTTCCCTTCCTTTCCCTTACGATGGCCTGTCTCACTCTGCAGATTACTGAACTAACCATGTATGTACAAATCTTCGGGAACCTTGGGCTGACAATTACAGGGCCCTCCTGTGGTCCATGGCTAACCCTAAACCCTATCACAAATCTCGGGGGGGGGAATTGGCTTGTTGGGGGACACCTTACCTCCTCTGGTCCTTTGCCTTCTCTGCTGCTTCCCAGAGCAGGCCCACCTGCTGCGGCCTCCTTGGCAAGTGCTTATGTGACTTGTTGGCTGGGTGGGACTAGGGGCCAGTTAGCTTCTTTTGAGTTATATGGGTATAAAGATGCATCGGCATGCACTTTAACACAAAAGTTAATATAAGTAATTGTGGATTCCCATTGGTACTCACTGTGACTCACCTTGGTTGCTTAGGTCAACATCAAACCTGAACTTATGAATATTGATGCAATTCCACCCAATTGGGGAATCTGTTTCATCACACTTGCACATAACGTCTTGCGCTGTCTTACATTTTGTCAGTTCTATCTGGACTGGAAAACTACCAACTTTGGCTTTCGCCAACCTGGCTCTCTCCAGGTATATTGGGCTGCAACTGCCAGGTTCCTGCTCAGTCTGCTGTGCTGAATGGGGATGATGGAGTCATCATCTGTAGTCAGCCATATCTAGTTAGACGCCACACCAGACTGGTCTGTTTGATCAGTGGGAAAACAGCTTTTGTGAATTAGGAATCTTACCATCTGTCAGGCAGTGAGTAAATTTACAATTCCTTTTGTGTGAAGGGTTAGGGATCTTGAATTTTTGTCATCAACTATACTGGGACTAAAAGAGACTGGTGTGTAAACACCTCCCTCTACTCTTAATAAGGTTCACCCAAAGTGATGAAGGAGGGTTCTGTTGTAAACACACACACTCATGGGCATTAATAAGTGGATCACAGGCATGGGACTTTCAGGTATTTTCCACTGCAACCCCCAGAATTTACCAGGAAACTCCGCCCCAGCCAGGATTCTGGGAGCTGCAGTTTAAAAAAAGCCGAGTCTACAGCAGAGGGGTTTTTTTAATCACTCACATATGTGTCTTGGTGAGCCTGTAGTGTCTGGAGCAGTGGTTCTCAACCTTGGGTGCCCAGATGTTGTTGGACTTAAAACTCCCAGGAGCCTTCACACTAATTGTGTTGGCAAGGGCTTCTTAGAGTTGCAGTCCAAGAATGTCCAGGAACCCAAGATGGGGAAGCACTGCTCTAGAACCACCGCTGTTTGCTTCTGAAGAAGGAAGAAATGGCTGGGAATGGCTAAGCCCAAAGGAAACCACTAGAGGTTATGGAACTGATAGTTATTTAGAGGTACTCTTTACAGAGCCTGTGGGGAGAAAAGACTACCAGTCCCATGATCCCTTGTGGCTTAGTCCATGCCAACCATTCTTCTTCAGTGACAAATGGTGGTTGCTCCAGAGGTGCACCAAGGCTTGCATGTGGGTGATTAAAGGCTCTGCCAATTTAGATTTTTCTAGCTCCAGCTCCCAGAATCTTGACTGAATGGACTCCTGGTGAATTCTGGGTTCTGTAATAAAAAAAAATCTGAAAGTTCCAAAGTGCATCATTTCCACTTGGTTGTACCCTGTTCCCCCGAAAATAAGAGAGGGTCTTACAAGAAGACTCGTATATTAATTTTTGCTCCAAAAATGCATTAGGGTTTATTTTCAGGGGATGTGTTTTTTTTCATGTACAACAATCTACATTTATTCAAATACAGTCACGTCATCCTCTTCTGGTTGCTGCACAAGGGTGGAGGACGGGGTTTCACTTAAGTAGGGCTTATTTTGGGGGTAGGGCTTATATTACGAGCATCCTGAAAAATCCTGCTAGGGCTTATTTTCAAGTGAGGTCTTATTTTTGGGAAAACAGGGTAGGCAAATTATCATAGATGCAGTTCCTTCTGATAATTTAAGATTAAAGATCTCCAGAACTGTAGTCTCCAGCATATGCTGTAGATACCCAAACGTTGTATTAACCACAGCTGGCTATTTTCTGAACTATACTATGCTGCCTGTCTTTGCTGGATCTACAGGCAGTCATCATGCATATGGTCACCTTGTGTTGAGAGCTATGAGGGCCTGCCCAAACTTAGACCAGCCTAATTGTGATCATTCTGTTTCCTCCCACACCTCTAATGGTCCTGTCATGAAATGAATCTTCCTATGACTGATGCTGCCGTCAACGCTTTTTGGAACTTTCCTTCCCGAGTAATTGTTGGTAGTCTATGTTGCTTTGTGAGGCACTAAATATGAGTACAGTAGGATCCAGCTATCCATGAGATCAGTATCTGCTGATTCATTTATCTGCTGCCTGAAAATATTAAATTAAAAATACCCCAGAAATACATTATTTCCAGAGTATATTTACCAGAACTGGCCACTAGAAGGAGCCAGAGACCGTGCACTGTATAGCATTTGATACCTCTGCCTTTTCCAGCAACTTGGAACCGATCTTCTGCGGATACGACAGTTCTACTTTAGTAGTATGAGTCAAAGGTTCTTAGTCCAAAGTGCATATAGTGTACATTTCAATAGTGAGGGCAGAGGGACGACGACGTTTTACTGGGTGTATGTCAGACTGTATAATATATGCAATTTTTAAAATGGAGACAAAAGTGTTGTGGCATCTTAAAGACTGACTGCTATATTTTAAGATGCGTTTTCGTGGATCAAGTTCATTTTCTCAGATATAAGAGATTCTCTGTGTGTTGTTTATGTGTCAGAATTGGGGCTGCAGTTATCTCTCGTGAATTGATAGTAAACAAAGGGAATTAAGCTTCCTTGAGGATGAACCCAGATTCAGACAACCAAGGCAGGCTAATGTTAATGCAAACGTTTCACTTCTCCTAGGAGCTGCTGCGTTTTCCCAAGTTGCACGAGGCCATTGTGGAGGTGGTGACCGGGGTCCTTCGCAGGAGGCTGCCCATCACCAATGAGATGGTAATCAAGAGTGGTTGTGTCCTTCCAAAAATGGTGGAGTGGGAGTTTGGCCCTAGTGCTTGACCCAGGCACAGGCTGGACACTCATGCCTCTCTTCTAGGTGCACAACCTGGTTGCAATCGAGCTGGCCTACATTAACACCAAGCACCCGGACTTCATTGACACGGCACTCGTCTCTGCCTCTGTGAGCAGTTCTAAGGTACACACACGCACATAAGGCACGTGTACCATTTCTTCTGCCTTTGATGTTTGTCTTTGAATCTGACATCTCTGCCTGCGCTGACTTTCCCACTTTATCAGAGTGAACCTGTTCCAGACGGCACCCGGCGATGGAAAAGTGAAAAAGCTGAAGAGTTTGGCACTGAAGACAGGCCAAAGGGTTCCTCCCAGACCTCAGTGTTTTCCAGCCCTAGCCGGTCCCATGCAGTCAACCTGCTAGACACGGTCAGCTGGGGACTAAATGGGGAGAAGGATGTGGGGACAGAAGAACAGGGGGTCTCATCCAGGGTTCATTCTGGCTCGCAGTACGGAATCTGTATTCCAGCATATCTAGGGAACAGCCTGTTGTGGTAGCTGATCTACACTGAACTAGATTAGGTGCTTCTAGGAGCAATATAAGCAGCTGAGGCTGATTAGAGTTCAGTATAGATTGGGTCTTAAGAGGATGAACTGGATGGATCGTGTGGTAACCCTTAATCCTGATGGGAAATTCGTTACATTTCTGTGTCAGATTACCTGCTTTATATCCCATTGGTTTAAGCAGACCTACAGCCTTTGCATGCACCTGAATGGAGGTATTGGGAGGAGGGGAGATTGCCGTTTTCCATGCTCTGAGCCAGGTCAGCTAAGTGCTGCTCCCAGCATCATCCTCTGCTCTCCTTAGCCCATGCCAGTCACTCGGAAACTGAGCCAGCGTGAGCAGAGAGACTGCGAGGTCATCAGACGCCTTATCAAATCCTACTTCCTCATTGTGCGAAAAAGCATCCAGGACAGGTAACTGAGCCGACAAGGATTTCGGGGCAGTCCTGTGGTGTCACTGGCACCTGGTGTTTGATACTTGGGGAGTACAAAATACGTGGGCTCTAATGTGGAGGGCTAGTCCAGAACAGAGGTGACAGAGTGCAGAGGTACGGGGATGGAAGCACAGGTGCTCTATATCCTTCTAGGATTTCTTGTAGATTTGTATGGACAAAAAGCAATTCTAATCTCTTTTAGGAGAATAGGTAGCTGCCGGAGTGTCTGTGTTCTGGCCCACTCCCAGGATGAAGCTCTTTCAGTCCTCCCCCACTAGATCCCATTCCATTACATTGCCCTTCATTACCAGGTTTTACCAGAATATTTGGTCTTTTACTGAAGTATTCTAATCTGTAGCCTACAGAATGACATGTGCCATTGTGCAAAGAACATAGATTTCCTTGGCACCTCAATCCAGAAGTTCGGGATGGTGAAGGTGCATGAAGAAGAGAGGTCCTGAGCCATGTTTCTGTTGCAGGTCTGGGGTACCAGCAGCAGGGGAGATGAAGCTGCATCTTTTAATAAGAGCCATTTGTGGGAGAAGTGGAACCGAGCAAGTCAGCCCTTTGGCCTTCCCTTCCCCAAGAGCTGGTTAATGAACCCTTTTATCTGCTGTCTACTCTGCAGTGTCCCCAAAACGGTCATGCACTTCCTGGTGAACTACGTCAAGGATCACCTCCAAAGCGAACTGGTTGGCCAGCTGTACAAGTCCCAGCTCCTAGACACACTGCTCACAGAGTCTGAGGACATGGCTCAGCAGCGCAATGAGGCTGCCAATATGCTCAAGGTGAGAGGAGAGGGCAACTGAATTTCCCCTGTGGGCTGTGTCAGTAGAGGGGGGGGGGCGACAGTTTTCATGGATGAGGGGGGTGAAGAGGGAAAGAATCCAACTGTTTCTTTGGCTCCTGAACGAGAGCTGTGCTGGTTCTGAGGCGCCCTCCAGATTCATCTTCAGGCTGCTCAGCTTTGCCTTTACATCTTGTCATGTCCCAGGTTGAAATGACTACAGCAGAGGTAGCAGAGCGGTCTCTTGGGAAATCATTCCTTGGCCCTCTGCTAGGGTCACCTTCCTCTTTACATTAAAAAAAATTCAAAAGCCTCTCTAGTTCCTAGCTCTCAGGGCACACGTTTTCAGTACTTTACTGTACAGCATTTCAATGGACCTTTCAAACAGCTTGTGCTCATTTAGTTTTTATTTTATTGTAGTGGTAGGCTACCTTGTTGGTTTGATCCACTTTGAAAAGTGGGATTTCAGGATCTTATCCATCCCCCAGCAAGGTCCTTTGTTCTTTTGCAGGCACTCCAGAAAGCCAGCCAAACCATCTCAGAGATTCGTGAGACTCAGCTGTGGTAAGCTGTACCCAAAACTGTGGGAGGCCCCCATGTCATGGAAGACAACTCATCCAGAGCCGTACAAAATTCATTTCTGAGTCTCACTGGAGTCCCTGGGGCTGTTTCCCAGTGGGAAGGGAAAAGCTGCCACCTAGGCCAGTTTAAGCTCCGGCTTAGCACCAAGAATCCACCCAGGGCTGAACTCCATGGTCACGGACAGCACTTTGGAGCCAGTATCCTTTGAGTGAAAGGAAGCAAAGTATCTTCACCTTCATCAGTTTCCCATCCTTGCTAGCCCATAAGTATCACACAACTGTTTTGTACAATTTAAATTGCTGTTCTCCACAACTGCATCCTTGAGCCGTTCTTTATTCGTGACAGCTTTGGGCCCGACTCCCCGCCTTCCTCTTTGGTGCATTTAGTAAAGACGTGGTGTGAAAGTTCGTCTGTTTGTCTGCCTGAGTACTGGGAGCAGACAGTTGTGTCAACGTGAACCTGCCATTGAATGTCTTGTCTTTATTAATGACCTACTGCTGGATGAAGTGGCATTGGCTAGATCAAGAGAAGGGTATGTGTGGGTGACTTTGAAGTCGGTAAATGCTAGCTTGGGGGGAATTCCTGTGTCCCAGAGGAGGACCTGCTAAGGTTCATTCTCATCTGGAAGTATATTCTCACTCTCCCTTCTTCATCCAGGAGTTGTGTGCCACAGTGCCATTCACAGAGGGCCTCCAGTCTGCCCTGGATTCCAGGGCATGAACGAGATAGATCTGAACAATCCTCAAGTTTGCATGCACCTCTGAGCCACACAGGCACTAGGCCTGGTCTACCAATTTCATGAAATAAACTTGTGGAAGGTTAACAGATATTGTCTGTATGTCTTTTGATTTGGGGGGATGGAGGGAGGCACTATTTCTCTGGAACTAGAAATAAGCCTTAGAGCCTTTTCATCCATTTCAATGAGACCTACAGAGAATTTTCATATGCTTCATGTTGAATATTACCAATTTTCACTTTATCTGCCACTACAGTATATAAGATCAAATATTATACTTTTCTGCTTCTATGAGCACAAGTATTTAGTGGTGAAAATTATAAATTCTATAAGACAAAAATCTTTAAAATGGCATTGATTTAGCTCTTTGTGTGTTCCTTTGGCATGGGTTTTGCAGTTTCAAAAGGCAAGAGCAGAATTGTCCCTCCCTGTAAAAAACTTGCCAGCAGGTCTAACTGTGCAAGGCTTAAAATGCTCCTTATCTGGATACACAGAGCCTTCAAGCAAAGTTGCAGAAGTGTCAGAATTGCATATACTATGGCTGTTCTAATAAGTGAAGCTATGGTTTCTAGGCCAGATAATTGTCCTTTGTAGTCCATTCAAAATGTGCGTATTGCAGAGCTGGCCTGGTTAGGAAAACCTGCCATCTACTAATAGAAAGTGGTACTGCATGCTTCAAACACAATATACTCATCTATATTAAATAATTTGAAAACCCTATCAGCTCCAGGTGTACACCTCTAAATTCTCCTTGGTACACATAACAAATCCAGGTTCTGTTTTGGTTGTGTGCTAGAAAAATATCTAGCCTAGCTTTTTTGCCAACATGTTACTCCTCTATGTGCAAGAACCAATTATTTACTGATATGGAGATACACTCAGTTACACAGGCTTCTTCCTTGTCATTTGAAGCTGTCTATCCTTGTTAGGAATTCACCATGGCAGATGCATGCCAGGCAGCTATACTAAAGGAGGAAGTACGCTGCGGTCTCTTTTCCCCCATAATGTAGGCAAAGAATACACAAGACATATCTTTTCACACAGCAAGGACGTTTGGTCAATTTATGAAGCATAAAATATACAGTTTCTTATGTACAAAGTGGACAGGGGGTGAGGGGAAGATAAAGAACCAAAAATACAGTCAATTGGGAGTCTTCCAGCCATGAGTCCTAGGAAAAAGGGCAGGGGAGAAGAGGCCCATGCTGTGGAAATCACACAGACTGGAGGCCACCCCCTCCCTCTCAGAGGCTGGTATTTATAATATATAGTATATATATATACACAGAAATCTCTGTACAGCAACAAACCCAACACAGGAAGTGCAGTGCAGGGTAGGGACAAAGTGCATGCTGGGGGGGGGCGGTTAGGGTGCAGGGTGGGAAGACCTGACACAGGCTGTGAAGGAAGGGCCAGGGAGAGAGAGAGAGAGAAAGAAGCCCAGGACTTTGCAGGGTGGAAGAGGGAGCTGCTACCTCCAGGCCAAAACCACCACCTGCTTGCAGCTACAGCCAGGACTCCTAGGTTCCTTTTGAGGCTATGGATGCACTCAGCAGAAGGTAAAGAAAATGAGGTATGGAGCTTCAAATCTGGGCTGATGAATCAATGAATTCAAGAGTCCCTCTAAGGCCCTCCATCAAAACTGGTTCTCTAGGACTCCTCCCTGCCCCCTTTCCCAAATTACCTGAGGGGCCAAATATCCAGCCTCTCATTCAACCTGTTGTCCTCAGAGGAGGGTAATGTGATCCACTGGCATGACCTGAGGGAACCTCCACACGTGCACCAAGAAACGGATGAGATCAGCCTTCCTGACTGCTGCCCTCCAGAGATACTGAGTTCCAGCTCTGATCATTCTCCACCAGCACGGCAGCACAGCAATGATGGGAGCTGCAATCTATCACCTCCAAGTGTGTTGAGTAGGGAAACCTGAATTAATAAATCCAAGTCTCCATGCAGCTCCAACTTGTGCCCCCTCTGAGGCCTAGCTAGATCATTTTGCCTTCACTCTGCCCCCGCCCCCAAAACCACCAATGCAAAATTACACAAGAAGATCCAATCTCAGAGGTGGCCACTTCCTGCATTTCAAGATGTGTCTTCACATCTTGATGTGGCCTACAATTCTGACCAATGACAAACAGTTTGCCTCTGTTCTCAGAAGTTTTGGAGCTGACATATAGATCAAGCATTCAAATAATCTCTCCCATCCAAAATACAGTACATGAGCAGGCACTATGGACTCAGGTATCCTCCATTTATTATTATTTATGTTTTTTTTAAATGCAATGTGGTAGACTTAAAAACAACCTCTATCTCTCTCTGTCCAAAGCCAAAGTGACAAAACCTAACAGCCCTGTCGCTAACCCTCCTGCATAAGAGGTGGGTAGATGGCTGGTTGGCCAAGGCAACATGGTTAGGGAAGAAGGGGCCAGTGGAAAAGGGTTGGGCCCCCCAAGGTTTAGTCTGGACAGGAGAAACGTGGATCCCATCTTTTTCCAGGAATAAAGGAAGCTGGGATTAAAGTGCATCTAAGCTCCCAAGGAACCCGTGGGGAGGTGGGAGGGGAGCTTACACCCTCCTATGTCCACCCCCCATTGCCAGGTAGAGACACACTGATAGGATGAAAGAACAAGTTGGGTGAAAAGAGATAATTGCATCCCACCGTCCACTCCTGTTTCCCCCCACCCTCGAATCAATGAGGTGTGGGCTCATACAAGGCCAGGGATATATGCTTATGACTCCCCCCATTAAAAATTTATTCAGTGCAAACCCCACAGTGGGTGGGGAGGGGACAGTAGAAAGAATAGCCCTTTATGACTAAGAACTGAGAGGGGTTTCCTCCTACCTAACCCCCAGCATCCCAGATTTCCCCAAAGTGTTTTTCACTTGCTGTCTTCTGTACTGAAATTCAACACCCACCCACCCACCCAATCTCCCTCCTTTTTAAAAATGTAAACAGAAGAAACAATGTGCAAATTAAAAAGAAGGACCTCCTCTTCCTCCTCTGGGCCAGGAACACTGCAGGTTCTTCGTTCCACCCCTGAGCACGGCCAGTGCCTCTATCCCCTGCCTGAACAACATGGAAAGTGGCCGGAGATCTTTGGGGCAGAGAAGAGGAAGACCCTACCTGGCTAGAAGAGAAACTGCCCTTCCAACAGAAAAGACCCTGCAGGCCCTCCCTGGTTGCAGGAACAGGACAAGGAAACACACTGGATGCAGTCCATGCATCTGCCTGCAGATGCCCCACTTCAACCATCATGCCCCACTTCAACCACTTCATCTCCATTCTTAGGGCGGGCTATGTAGCTGCAAACAGCAACAACCAGGCAAAGAGCACACATCCCTCTCTGACCTGCACAAACACCACAACTAGATGTTACTTGGCAAAACCAGAACATTCTCTCAACCTCAGCACTTCATGTGGCCCTTAGAAGAGAGGCTAACAATGCATGGCCCACAGACTGCATGCAGCCTCAGGGGCCCAAGCAAGGGTACTCAGCACCCTTTAGCTTCCAGCACCCCCAACCCTGTTAAAAAGTAAAAAGATTTCGGACTCAAAGTGCCTTTTTAGGAGGAGTAGGCAGCAATTCTATGTTTTAATGGAGCGGCAGACTATCCCTGGGGCCTCCGTCTTCCCAAAACGGCCACTAGAAGGCACAAGGGAGCTCTGACAGCACCTGTCCTCTGAGAAAAAAAGGCAAGGCGGTGGAGTCCAGAGCAGTGGTCCCCAACCTTGGGCCTCCAGATGTTCTTGGACTTCAACTCCCAGAAATCCTGGCCAGCAGAGGTGGTGGCGAAGGCTTCTGGGAGTTGTAGTCTAAGAACATCTGGAGGTTGGGGACCACTGCTCTAGAGACTGTCCCCCCCCCAACTCCATTAGACTCCAGAGACTGAAGCAAAGGCTAGACCTTGGCCATCTTACAGTGGGAACTTTGTGGACTAAACGGGTTCTGACCCATTGCCTCTGAACATCTGGGCAGCTATAGGACAGGGGGAGGCTTACACTTGTAATGTAGAGTGAGAGAGAGGCTGCCTGCCACCTGCTCCACCTCCCCCCCCCAGCCCTACTCTTCCTTATGGCAGAATCGCCAGACTCTGGCAAAGGGTACACAAACAGTTTTCTCTGGAGCAGCACCGAACTCTTCAGCCAGCTGAAGAGCAGAAAGAAGTCTGGCACCAGAACTCCCAAGGTCAGAGGCTAGCTGGCCTTTCTCTCTCCTGGCCTCAAATCCCAAGTATGGAATTGGTGCCATTCTCAGGCCTAAGAAGCCACCAAGCACTGATCCTGCTCTCAGCATTCATTCACCTTGGCTGTTTCTTACTTTTTAAAAAATTAATCAGCGGAAGCTGCGATTTTAAAAAATGGAGGGGGGGGATCAAATATTTTAAAAGCTGTCTTGTATAAAACTATATAAAAAAGCAAGAGCCTCTCTCCTTCGGTTCTCCTTTCCCTTTCCCTCACTGTTTGGGCAGCTCTGAGGAACAGCTCCCTGCTACGTAGACTGGAAGAGTCTGAACGGCCGCCCTGCACCAGCGGCCCACGACAGCTGCACCAGGCCTTGCTCCGCACAAACAGCAGACGTGGCTAGCATGACAGGGAGGCCAGTGAGGATCCTTCTCCCTGAAATCCGTTTTTTTCTTAGAAGGGAGAGGCAGCCTTTATAAGGAGCAGCCTCATGTTAGGGCTGCTCCACCAACCCCTCTGGTGGGAAACAACTCCTCCTAAAAAAGGGGGATTCTGCCACAGGCCATGCTCTTGGTCTGAAGCAAGGGGGGGGCACAAGGGCTGCCAAACAGGACCAGAAGGTCTCCTTCTGCACCATAGTTAAGAGTCAGGTTGGCAGGACGTTCTGCCCGAGTGAGGATGCCCTTAAAAAAGCCAGCACACGGAGAATACCGTTGCCCTTGCGCCTCCCACTCCGAGCCACGTGCGTCTCTGCGAAGTCACCGCCCAGTCCACCGGCACCCCGTTCTCTAACCAAACGGGGAGCGGTGGGAGGGGAAGGCCGGTGGCCTGTGGGGAAGAGAGAAGAGGCAGAGCCCCCCTAAGCAGCAAAGACCCAACTCTGGAGCTGTTGCCACCACCCTCAGGCCACAAACGGTGTCGGCAGGTCCAGATTTCTTCCTCTCCGAGGCCTGGCTCCCAAAGAGGCAGTCCACCGGCACCCCGTTCTCTAACCAAACGGGGAGCGGTGGGAGGGGAAGGCCGGTGGCCTGTGGGGAAGAGAGAAGAGGCAGAGCCCCCCTAAGCAGCAAAGACCCAACTCTGGAGCTGTTGCCACCACCCTCAGGCCACAAACGGTGTCGGCAGGTCCAGATTTCTTCCTCTCCGAGGCCTGGCTCCCAAAGAGGCCCTCCTCTCTCAGTTCTCGTCCTAGGAAGAAGAGGGGGTG